TCTTCCTATTTTTTAATGAGAAATTTCAAGCAAGAATATTAAGAAGTCTCAAGAACTAATAAGAATTTGTTTTGAACAACCAATAAAAAAAAAAAGAAGTAGTGAAAAAAAAAAAAGAACTAATAAGAAGCAGTAGTGGACTATCTAAATCTAAGAATAAAAAATCTATTAGTGGGGGAAAAATGTATACTTAAGACTTTTATGGCCTAAATAGTGCCCTAAAATTTTCACATCTTCTTCAAATTCAAGAAGGATAGGGTGTAACAGGGCCCAAAGCAGGAATATATTGCACAAATTCACTTATAACTGAAAGCTGAACCTGATAAAAAGTCACTATGGTATAGAATTGCTGGCCTGTTGTGAATTCCTTTTTTCTTGTAATATAATACATAGCCTCTTTGGAGCATCTTGCTTAAGAGAGAAAAGATCTGGTGATAATATGGTAACTACCATGATTAGAAAAAACAATGTCAATACAGTTCTTAACCATGTTAATACAATTAACATAACATAATTCATTACCACACAATTTCAAACTATTTCTAAATTAAGCTAAAAACTATACAAAGCAAAAATTGATGTTTTTTTTTATTTCAGTCTTTCATATTCACTGAAAAGTAGGTTCCTTTAGTTTGCTTTATTTTACCTAGTTTAAGATAAGACACCTATGTCAATTAACAGCTTTCAAAACACTGCTACATTTTATATTAACAAAATGTTATCAATCGACCCAAATCTTTTACCTTGGCTACTTGAGTTACTGCACTAGCTGCTAATGCTGCATTTGCAATATCTTCCAGTTTACTTCTCGAAATAGCAGAAATAAAATTTAAATAATATGATTCGTAGAGCTGATTCCGAAGATCCTACAAACACCAAAAATATTTCATTCTTATAGGGCAGTATAAAGGATGACCATGAATAAAACAGGATAAGAAACCTATTTAAAAGATAAAATATATAAGTGACAATCAAGAAAATTATATCCCAAGCCGGTTTAAATGGTACATAGCAGCTCAGAAAACTGAGGCATGAGACTCCCAAGTTCAAGGCTAGCCTCATAAACTTAGCAAGACTGTCTAAAAATAAAAAAGGGTCACCTTGGTTTCAATCTCTAACCACACACACACACACACATACACACACACCCCAAGGGAACAAAGTTATGAAGAAGTATTAGGCATTTGGTTACTAAAGGTATCTTAATAAAGTTATATTTATTATTAACAAAATCCTATTAATAACAAAATACAAAATTGCTCTGAAATAGCTTACCTATATTTTTCTTTTCTTTTTTGGGGTACCAGGGATTGAACCCAGAGATGCTTAACCACTGAGCCACATCTCCAGCTCTTTTTCATTTTATTTAGAGACAGGGTCTCACTGAGTTGCTTGGGGCCTCACTGAGTTGCTTAGAGCCTTGCTAAGTTGCTGAGGCTAGTTTTGAACTTGCGAGACTCCTTCCTCAACCTTGTGAGCCAATGGGATTATAAGCATGTGCCACTGTGCCTGGCTTATCCATGTTTTCTTAAAATACCCAACATAATAAATATCTAAAAATATCTAACATAATAAAATGTTTGCTATATTTGGCAGATACTACCTTCTATTGCTCTGGTCATGGGATGACACATGTTTTTCACTACACAAAGATACATTATACTCTAATTACCAATTCATTAAAAAATAGAATTAAGTTATATAAATTCTTAAATCAAATTTACTTATCTTCTTAAACTCTAGATATAGATATCTAAATAACTACATTTCCTCAAATCTAAGATGTTATCAACTGTAATAGGTACCATCAAGAAAGAATGCTGTGGGTGTGGTGGCCCATGCCTATAATCCCAGTTGCTCAGGAGGCTGAGGTGGGAGGATGGTGAGTTTAAATCCAGCCTTAGCTATTCAGTGAGGCCCTAAAGAATTATACAAATAAATGCGGACATAAAAGTGTATGTGTGCATGTACATATGTATTTTCTAGCTTTGTACTCTGAGAGGACCTAAGAATACTGACACTCTACTTACAATGAGCAGGTCAGCTCAGGTCTTGATTTCTGAATACCATTCTCTACAGAAAGCAACCAAGGTTCCTAAAACTATTAGCTGAATTCAGGGCTGGGCAGAGAAATTAGGAAGTGGTTAAAGAGTAACAGACACGTTTCAAAAGGACACAGAAGTTTAGCAAGGTTGAGGGATATAAGATAAATACAAAACTCAACTGGATTTTCATATAATTTCAAACATCAATAAAAATGGAATTAAGACAACAATTGTATTCATATGAAGAAATAAATAAGAGAAACATAAAAATTATATTCTAAACACTACATAGTACTATTAAAAAAAAGTAATGAAGATCTAAATGGAAAGATATTCCATGTCCAGAGATCAAAAATCTTAATATTGGTAGGACTGTAATACTTTCAATTGATCTACAGATTCATTGCAATCCATATTGGAACCTGGCTGACTTTGTTGTAAAACCAATTAGCTAATCTTAAAATTCATTTGAAAATTCAAGGATTCTAAAAAGTAGAAACAATCCTGAAAAGGAAATACAAAAAGGACTCAATTTCTTATTTCAACATTGCCACCAAGCAATGCAAATTTTCTTGGTCCAGGGACAAGGAAAGATGTAGAGATGAAAGGCACAGAACTAAGAGTCCAGAAATAAATCTACTGTCAATTGATTTTTCACAAGCCTGTCAAAATCATTCATCAAGGAAAGAATAGTTTCCTCAACAAATGATGCTGGGCCAACTGGATGACCACAAGCAACTGAATGAAGTTGGGCACCCACCAAACACTATATACAAAATTAATTCCACATGGATTAAAGACCTAAATGCAAGAGCTCAAACTATAAAATTTGGAAAAGAAACAGAAATTTGGAATAGCTTCTTAAACATGACAACAAAAGCACAAGCAGTTAAAGAAAAAACAAACAACCAAACAGACATAAGCTAGCCTTCAAAATTAAAAAAAATTGAGTACCAAAGGATACTATCAAGAGAGTGAAAACAATCCACAGAATAGGTAAAAATATTTACAAACCATACATGTGGTAAGAATCTACTATCCAGAACATATAAAGTTGCCTAACAACTTAATGATTAAAAAGACAACCCAATTAAAAAATGAGTAAAAAATATGAATAGACATTTCTCCAAAAATACACAAATGGGAAGCATGTTAAAAGATGCTTAAAAGGTGCATGTCTATAATCCCATTTACTTGGGAAGCTGAGTCAGGAGGGTTCAAAGCCAGCCTCAGCAACTGAGCAAGACCCTGTCTCTAAATAAAACACAAAAAGGGCTAAGGATATGGCTCAGTGGTTAAGTATTCCTGGGTTCAATCCCTGGCACCCTATTAAAAAAAAAAAAAAGATGCTTCATATCACGCATTTCAGGAATGTAAATTACAACTGTAATGAGACATCTCTTCAGATCTTTAAAGATAATTATAATAAAAATGTCAGTAAGTGTTGGCAAACCTCTGGATAAGTTGTAATCCTAATGCTGCTAGTGATAATTTAAAATGTGCTACCACTTTGGAAAATAGTCCATCATTTTCTCAAAGCTAACTATAGAATTATCATTTGAATCAACAATTTCATTTCCATATGTTTATGGAAACAAGAAAAATGAAAACATGTCCACACATAATCTTGTGCATAAATGTTTACAATAGTATATTATCTACAATAGCCAAAATATGGAAACAACTAAAATGTCCATTAACTAGAAAACAGGTAACAAAATTTGGCATATCCACACAATAGAATACTATTTGGCCATCAAAAGGAATGAAGTACTGACACATGCTACAATATGGATAAACCCTGAAAACATTAAGCTAAGAGGAAGAAGCCAGATCACATATTATGATTCCATTTATATGCAATGGACAGAATATACATTATTTATAGAAACAGATGTAGCTTAGGGTCAGGAGCAGATGAAGGTTGGGGTTAGAGATGTAAGAGAGTAGTTTCTTTTTTTCTTTGTAAAATATTTTTAGTTGTATACGAACACAATACCTTTATCTTATTTATTTATTTTATGTGGTGCTGAGGATTGAACCCAGTGCCCGTAAGTGCTGAGCAAGTGCTCTACCACTGGGCTACAACCCTATCCCCCAAAGTTTCTTTTTGAGGTGATAAAAATTGACTGTGGTGAGGCTTATACAACTCTGTGAATATACTAAAAGCCACTGAATTTTACAATTTAAGTGGGCAAATTATATGGCATGTTTGTAAATTACATTTTAATAAAGCTGCCAGGCGCAGTGAAGCACACCTATAATCCCAGCGGCTCAGAAGGCTGAGGCAGGAGGATCATCGGTTTAAAGACAGCCTCAGCAACTTAGTGATGTGCTCAGCAACTTAGTGTATCTCAGTGGTTAAGTGCCCATGAGTTCAATTCTGGGTACCAAAAAACAAAACAAAACAAAGCAAAACAAAACAAAATCCTGTTATTTAAAAAAGGAAGAATGAAGAGATCGAAGTAATTTATCTTTAAAAAATGACACAGTTGGGTTGGTACAGGGTAAAAGAGGTACCTGGGTATCGTGGGTATCCATAAAGTTACAAAACACAAAAATATGTACCTTCACTAAAAATTTATATAACAAATTGATTCAGTAGTTTAGAACATGGACATAAGTTGTGACTTCTGGCAAACACTGTTAGTATCTAATATCTATTTTTTGCCTTTTCCTTGCTAAAAGAATCCAAATTTTCTTTGGGGGTGTCGATACATTCATCTAAATATTAATGTAGCATCTCTTGAAACTAATTCCACTCAGACTTAAATATGCCTTTTGGAGTTTTGGGAAGGTTTAGCTTTCCTGATCTATATGAACAGACAGGTTGGCACAGTTCATTTATCATTTCTTCTTGCTGTGAACACAGATGTGATGTCTGCAGCTGCAACTGCCACCTTACATCGATGAAGCAACAAGCAAGATGAAAAAAAAAACCCTAATAAACTAAAAGAGATAAAAAGAGTGGGGTATTTGATTACATTACATTAATTCTACATGAGGTTAGATTTCCTATTCTCAATGTTCCTACTATGTGAGTAAACCAAAATTCTTTTTTATTTTTTAATTTTTTGTTCTGGGGATTTAATTCAGGGGCTTTTTACCATTGAGCCACATCCTAAGCCCTTTCTACTTTTTTATTTTGAGACAGGGTCTCATGAAGTTGTTTAGGGCCTCACTAAATTACTGAGGCTGGCCCCAAACTTGCAATCCTCCTGCCTCAGCCTCTTAAGTCATTGGTATTATAAACGTGAGCCACCATGCCTGGCTTAAAACTCGTGTGTGTGTGTGTGTGTGTGTGTGTGTATATGTGTACCAGGGATTAAATTCAGGGGCACTTGACCAGAGCCACATCATCAGTCCTATTTTATATTTTATTTAGAGACGAGCTCTCACTGAGTTGCTTAGTACCTTGGTTTTATAGAGGCTGGCTTTGAACTTACTATCCTCCTGCCTCAGCCTCCTGAGCTTTGGGATTATAGGTGTATGTTACCATGCCCA